CTTACCGCACCGTGACGTCACTGCTGGAAGATGGCAGGAGGGAGGGGTTACTATATTTGGGCAAAAATGGCCGCTCCCAAAAATAGTTAATTATTATTATAATTTTTTTTTTTACTGATCAACACCAAATTCATTAAATCACTGGGAACGTATTAGTTTTAGGTATAGATAATGATCCATTAATTATTCCTTGCTGACCGGACTTTTTCTTTAAATCTTAAAATTTGGTGTAGAAAAGTAGAAAAACAACAAATGAAGGTGGGAGGGGGTTAAATTTGTCTCATGGCTACTGTATGTCTCGGGTGCTTTAATGATTTGGCGTAGAGCCTTGGGGCTAATGATAGCCATCTGGCCAGCTGTTCAGTACATACATCAGCATGTGATGGGTTATATTAGGTGTGGCGCTGCAGTGATTATTCGAGCACGGATGAGCAAGGTGAGCAGGTGTTTGTGTCCGATTCTCTGACAGAGGCATCACTCAGACGTGGTCCTTTAACTGTCCTCTGCATGCATGTGTGTGTTTCAGCACACTCTGCCCAGATGGGTCTGATTGAGACGACGCGAGGGCTGCTCCCCGGAGCGGGTGAGTCCACCAGAGGTCACAGAAATGACCCTGAACGCCATTGATTGTTTTAGTGGAGAGACAGACGAGCTGTGAGAAGTTCACCTTGAAGGGGTGTGTCCTGCAGGGGGCAGTCAGCGGCTGCCACGGATGGTCGGCGTTACTCTCGCCAAGGAGCTCATATTCACAGGTGTTAAAGAATGCAGCTAATGGTGAAGCGTCCCTGCAGGATCTGTTGGATAACAGCAGGCTGTTGTGCTTTCAGGTCGGCGTGTTGGGGGGCAGACTGCTCTAGAGATGGGGCTGGTGAACAGAGCGGTGGAAGCGAACCAGACTGGAGACGCTGCTTATAAAGAAGCTCTGGCCCTGGCCAGAGAGATATTGCCCCAGGTTGGAACATATTTTAAATCATAACCAGAATAAAGGTGAATCAAAGTCTATCGGTGTAAGATTAGGGAGGAATTTCCTGAAAATTCCCAAAACAAATTCAGATGAAGCAGAAGAGATATTACCAGGGAAAAACTGATCGGACCTCTGTGTCCAAGTTCTGCTACGATTTTCATTTCCTGATTCTTTTTTGCTGATAAAATTTTTTCAGGGTGTTGGAGCCCCTGTTCTGTGTGAGTGGCCCCTCTAAAAGCACATCCTGAAGGAATCGCAGACATGTCTCTACATAACTAGTGTTAATTTCGTTAACGAAAACTAAACAGAAATATTTTCATCAACAAAACTAGACTAAATAAAAATGGGATGATGTTGACTAAATGTGATAAAAACTAACAAGCGATGCTGAAACTGGACTAAAACTGAAACTAAATTTAAAAATGGCTGCTAAAATTAACACTATAAATAACTATAAAGATCTGTTTCTCTTTTAAACATCATCTTATGTGTTTGTTATATCAGAGTTTATACACCTCAGTGATGCTGAACATCCTCCACGCTGAGTTTTCCTTGTTTACAGTAGCAGCCATTTAAAATGTCAGCAGAATGGCAGCCCACTTCCCTGCAACTCCAATCGAAATCCCCTCCAACTTCCAGCCACTGGAGTGACCACCACTTGCATTCTCTTTAGATCTTACTGTCCGCAAATCATGACAGAATATTTTAGTACAAATATTGACGTTTAAAAAGGAAATTAAGGGGGACCAGTCAAGGACCAGCCAAGGAAAGTGGGAACATTTTGAATGGCTACTACTGTACATCGTCTACATGAAAGATTGTTGGATTTTAGGGATTCCTGACCGGAGCTTGTCTTTTACCACGTTAACAAATTAATCTTATGCTATGCTTTATGCTGATATAGGCTTAGACTGCTGGAGGACATAGGGACCCCTTTTCCATCATTCTGC